TCTCGCCATCAAAACAGACCATTAATTTGAATTTTTATACCATATTTCTTCTTGACTCAGTTGGCTCTGGTCAGTTAGCAAGGCTTTAACATCTGCAGTGGGTTATTCCACCATCACCTTCACTTGGGTTATAGTTGGAGTATGGAAAGGAGAGTACAAAGCATGTTAGCTTCCACCCTAGCCTTCTTCCTCCTAAAGAGTTTCTTGATGGACGCCATGGTATCTAAATAGAAAATACAGTTATAAACCATTAAAGGAATATCAAAATAAAATACGAAAAAAATTCTTCTCCTTATCGACGAGTTCTTTTCACTCCGAGCATTTGCGTGTCCATTATCACCCAACCAATAATAAGTTCCCTCTTCTATAGGGAGGGCCCCACATCTGAATGAACTTTACCTTCTTTGAAACCCTAGTGTTGCCAAAGGTTATTAGATCCTATTTCATTGACACTTCATCTAGGGTTAGAGTTTCAGAAGGTCTAACATAGGTGTGCGATATTTACTTATAGATTTTTACAACCCACCATTTTATTTTTGGGTTGCAATATTTCTAAGTATGATTAGGAAAAGATTTCTCAATATTGTTAGTCTAGAAAATAATTAAATCATTGAGTTTTTGTCTTGGATGACAACATTGAGAAATTTTTCGCAAATATAAAAATGAATTGTAAAAAGTGGAATCAACAATAGCTACTTCATTACGTGAGATAGATTCCAATAGCAAAAAAATAATTAATTCAAGATTGGTAAAATTTGTTTCTTCAATGAATGAATGTGACAACAACAACAACAACAACAACAACAACAATAACAACAATAACATCACCACCACTACCAACAACAATACAACCTTAAAAGATTTCCTAACTAAGAGAATGATGTTTACGAGTTTGATTGACATCAAATGAATTAAGTTAGGACAAAACTTAATAAATGAATATTTTTAGACAAAACTGGGTAATCATTCCTCTCGGTTGGTAGGTTAACCGAAGGAATAAATGACTTAATATTTAAATAAAAAATAAAACAAAAAAGATTGATGTCATTTTAAAAGAAATAAAACATAAATTATAATTGTTGGAATTCGAAGCGTGTCCCTTAGTTTGAGTGAATGAGAGAATACTTAAAATATCACATGCTAATGTTTACAGAGTGTGGTCAATTAGAGTTGTTACTGTGTAACTTTCCGCCTCATGCGGAGATTCATTTGATTATATCTGATAAAGGTGAACACTCTGAGTAATAAATACCTTAGTGCACATGTTCTTGGATTGAATCTCCTCGGGATTGGACACTACAAGAAACATTGCATTTTCCCAAGTGATTCCCACGTCACTAAGCAAAAAATCACTTCACTAACCACTACTTGCGATGTGGGAGAAACACGCCGGAAATGCAATGGTGGAAACTTTTTCCCACGTGAAAAACACGTCACAAAGTTGTGACATAAAAACCACGTCGCAAATGACAAAAAAGTAGAAAAGGTTCCCACGTGAAAACCAAGTCACTAATTAGTGACGTGAAATTCATGTGGGAATGTAGCTTTACCAATTTGGCCTGCACGTGAAACTGACACAAGTTGAATTATTTTCCCATGCGAAACCCACGTCACTAATTAGTGACTTGGTTTTCACGTGGGAACTCACACAGAGTAAATACTTTTCCCATGTGATTCCCACGTCACTAATTAGTGACATGGGATGTGCTTCACTATAAGATTTAATAATAATAAAAAATAAATATTATTAACTGAAAATAAATATTATTAACTAAAATTAAAATAAATATTAAATATTAAATTTAAAATTAAAATAATTTTTAATTAAAATAATATACATTAAAAATATATACATAATTAGTCACATGAAATTCACGTCACAAATACAAATTATAATAATAAAAGTTGTCACGTAATTTTCACGTCACAATATAGACAATAATAAAAAAAAAATTATCCGTCCTCACTAAATGATACATCTTCGTCTTCTTCATCATCTTCGGCAGAATAATTTGATTTTGAGGCAAAAAAATTTCGCATTTGTGCCTCCATGTCTGATTGCCGCTTCCTCATTTCCTCTATTTCAGCATTTTGTCTATTTCTCATATCCTCCATTTCGGCCTTTAGGGCCGCCTCACGTGACTCCGCCTCTCGTCTCGCCTCAGATAGAGCTAACTGTCTCACTGTTGCCAACATTTCTGGTGTCAATTCTGCCGGACGTGATCCTCCTTCCCCATCATCGAGTCTTTGAAATAAAGTTCGGTCCCCTTTTCTATAATCGCCAGCCAAAGTCCCAAGACCAAAAAAACATCCATTGACTCCCTTTCTGCCTACTGTTAAATTCCAAATATAAAGATCAACGCGTGGATCAAGCGGTGCATCCCCAATCGGCGTATACTGAGGATTTTCAGTTAGAAATTGGGCAAGCAAGGTCTGGTACAACTCCTACACACACATTAAAAAAATTAAATTAAAAAATAATTTAAAAAATTTAATTATATAATAATTATGAAATTAAAAGAATTCAACTATAATAAACAAGTTACCAAGGTTGATTTGGAACGGCCGTCAATAAAGTCCCTCGATTTTTTGGTTCGAGTCTTCACAAACAGCTCATTGATTCGTGGCTCCCTCCCCAAATCCTTTTTCTAGTTAAAATAATGAAGCTTAATTAAATATATAATAATACAAAATAAAACTTTAAAAAATAGTTATAATTACCATTCGTCGACGATGTTCGCCGATACTGATACTTCCAACTGTACTAAGACAACCACCTGCTTCAGATGCCCTCATCTTTTTAGCATGTTTAGATCTTCTCTGAAAATCTTTTGTCTTCCACCACTGAATAAGTTCCCCAAATATTTCCTCGCCTATCCAGTTAGAACGATTTTGATCTCTTTCCCAACGTTGTCTAGCATTCCTGAGCATGTCAGATAATCTTCTAGATACCTTACTTCTGAATTTTTTTTTAATTTTGTACTCGTCAAATTTCTGCCAAGTACACCTTTCCTGCAAGTTATATGATAGTCAAATAAAATGTTAGATATATATAACAAAAAATCATTATAAAATAACATAACTATAATAAAAATATAATTTACCTTGAATTTATCAAATCATATATCTTTCTCAGTATCTGGGAGCTCTCCGAAAGACTTAATAAGTTTTGTATACATCAATTGAATGACCCAGTTTACAGCTTTAGCAGCAGGACGACACAGATCAAAACTAAACAACAATAAAATGAATGAGTATTAAACATAAAATGACAATATATAGCTAAATAAATATTATAAATTAAAAACATACCCAGATCCCTCAGGCCTAATCAGATGTCGTCCTTCAACCACCAAAAGCTCCTCTGCAACATGATTTGTCCGCTCCTCATGAACATCGTCATCCCCCTGAACAGTGTGGTCATCCTGCTGCTGACGCGCAGGTATATGTGCGGGGTGTGGAATGCGGGAGCCAGATCCCTCTGGCTGGTGCGTGGAGGGTGTCGGCTAAGGAAAACTAGATCCTGAAGGCTGCGGCGTGAAGGAATACTGCTGAGGAAAAACAGATCCCCCAGGCTGTGTGAAGTGAGTCTGCTGAGGAAAACTAGATCCCCCAGGCTGCGACATGAAGGAATACTGTTGAGGAAGAAAACTAGCTCCCCCAGGAAAACTAGATCCCCCAGACTGCTGCGTAAACGTAGATGGTACATGTGGAAAATTAGATCCCCCAAGCGGATGCATGAAAGATCCCCCAAACGGACTAATAAACGATGGATTCCCAGATGGAACCGTTTGGGAGGAGGAAAGTAATGTCGTAAATGGTTGTGAAGTGTCTACGGACATTAGATCTGCCTAAGATTGTGGGCGAGAAGCATACATGGGAGAGGGCGGTACCTCACGTACTCTGGCTCTCGAACGGGGCTGGGTCTCCTTAGCCTTACCCTTGTCAGTTCGGGGTGGCATTGTATCTATTTTGAAATAGTTATCAATAAATAAATAATACGTAAATAAATCAAGACTCTTCATACGTAAAAATCATTTGCATTCATATAAAACAAATAATACATTAATAAAAATTGTCATAACACATATAAAACTATCTATTCAAACTCTTCATGCTCTTCAGCCATATTATTTTCATCATTTGATCCAATAATGTCCTTAGATCCAATATCTTCATGTTCTTCGTCCACATCATTATCTACCAACAACACAGATGCATCAATTTGATGACCCTCGGCCAATGTATCACACAAATTTTTAATTTCTTCAACTTCAATCACATCATTAATTTGAGAAATTTCATGGTCTTGGTAAGCAGCATCTTCCACTAGATCCTCAGTTTCAATATGACCCAATGGTTTTGTTTTGTTACAACACACCATCCACGTTTACGTGACAGAATTGAAGGGTACGGCACATAATAAACTTGTTTAACGATATGTGACATTATGAAAGGGTCATACTCTTTGTACCTTCTGTCCATTCGAATATCAACATTGTTATATTTCTTATCTATTTTTGTGCCCCTGGCAGATGGATCATACCAATCATAATAAAACAAGACAACTCTATTTTCCGAGTCTAAGTAATTGTATGCCAACTCGTAAAAATGCGTAACAACGCCATAGAAGTCATCTTCACCACCATCTGTAACTCCTTTAACAAATACACCACTATTTATGGTTTTTTTCCCTTCTGTCCATGCCTGGGTGTGAAATTTATAGCCATTCACAAAGTATGTGTGCCATTCAATTGCTCATTGAATAGGCCCTCTAGATAAGTTACGCAAATGAAGTATTTCTTGAGTCGGTGCAACAATGCATGACAATTGATCCTTGAACCATGCTGGAAATGATGCATGTATTTAACCGGTAGTTGGTTGTTTACCGGTGCTTTGAAAATATGAGGCGTTAAATGCCCTATAAAGAAACACATTTTTAGTTAGAATGTAATAATTCAATTTGTAAAGCCAGATAAGTAGTTATGTTAGGGGTATACTTACTCAAGATATGGCCTAACTTCAATACAGTTAATAAGAACATGAACCTGTGCAGATTGCAATTCTTTTTGGGTCAGCCAATGCACATTCTCCTTTCCAGAGGGGCGACCGGGAAGACCGAAGATTGACAAGGTAAACTGACTTCTTTTGTTAACATCAAATTCATTCCTTACGATTCTTGGAGTTAATATCAAATGATTGAAATAATGACTGCAAAAATGTGATGTTTCCCGATGCAAATAATGTGCACATATTGATCCTTCAACTTTAGCTTTATTTTTCACTGATCTCTTTGAATCACCTATGAATCTTTCAAAGGGATACATCCACCTGTATTGAACGGGGCCACCAAGATAGGCTTCATATGCAAGATGCACAGGTAGATGCTCCATAGAATCGAAAAAACCAGGTGGAAAAACGCGTTCCAACTTGCATAGAATAACTGGAATATTTTTGTCCAACTTAATGATGCTATCGCTTCTTAAAGTTGACACACAAATGTCTCTGAAAAATTGACTTATTTCAGTTAGCGGAAATAGCACATGGTTGGATAGTGAACTGAACGCAATTGGAAGCAATCGTCCCATGAAAACATGACAATCATGACTTTTCATTCCATGTAACTTCCCAGTTTTGGTGTCAACACACCTTGCTAAATTTGAAGCATAACCATCCGGCATTCTCAATTCATTTAACCATCGACAAACCGCTTTAGCATCTTGGGAAGTTAGACTGTAACATGCCTTAGGTTTTAATAATTTTCCATTAGGCCGAGGCTTCAACTCCAACTCTTTTCTATCACACAAAATTTCCATGTCCCTTCTAGCCTTCTCATTATCCTTTGTTTTGCCTTGAACATCCATCACTGTGTTAAATATATTATCGAAGAAATTCTTTTCAATATGCATAACATCAAGATTATGTCGCAATAAATTATCTTTCCAATATGGGAGGTCCCAAAATATACTTCTTTTTGTCCAATTGTGTTTGACCCCATATCCTTCAATTCTGCATGCTTCACCGTAATCTGTAAATTTTGGCAGTTTAGAAACTCGATTCCATATTTCCTCTGGTGACAATCGCGGAGGAGGCAAATCTTTTACTCGTACATCTTTTTTGAAATCAGTCTTGTTTCTTCTAAATACATGGTCTCGTGGTAGGAATCTGCGGTGAGAGTCAAACCACGAACTTTTCCCTCCAAATTCCAAAGTAAAAGCCTTTGTAAATTCCATGCAATGTGGACATCCCATTTTGCCATGCGTGCCCCAACCAGATAACATTCCATAAGCGGGAAAGCCATTAATAGTCCACATCAAGGCAGCTCGCAAAGTAAAATTTTGTTTGCGAGATATATCATAGGTCCATTCTCCAATCCACAACCTCTTCAAATCATCTATTAAAGGTTGCAAATAAACGTCGATTCCGGATTTAGGACTTGACGGTCCTGGAATGAGGCAAGTAAAAAACATGTATGGTTTTGTCATGCACATCTCAGGAGGGAGGTTGTAAGGGGTTACGATAACTGGCCAACAGGAATATGCAATTGTAGATGCTTGGACGTATGGAGTAAAACCATCAGAGCACAGTCCGAGCCTGACATTTCTAGGTTCTGCAGCAAAATCAGAATGTACCCTATCAAAATGTTTCCATGCCTCACCGTCAGATGGATGTCGCATAATTCCTGAACATGTTTTGTTTGTATGATGCCATGTCATTTGACTTTCACTATGCATTGAAGCAAATAATCTTTTTAACCTTGGTATTATCGGCAAATAAAACATGGACTTCACTGCTACACGTTTTTGTTTACGGTTAATGGCTTTACTACGAACTTTATATCTCGGACTCTTACAGAACTTACATTCCTCCAGCGCCTCATCATTAATACCAAACTCATTGTCATAAAACAACATACATCCATTTATGCAACAATCAATCTTTCGTACTTTTAAACCCAACTTCGACACCAACCTCTTTGCATCATAATAGCTTGTAGGCAAGTTGTCTTTCGTAGGAGTCGCATCCAACATCATTTTTGCAAAGTATTCCAAACACTGATCAGGAACATTCCAATTTGACTTTGCGGCCAATAATCTCACACACATTGATAATTTTGAATCTGATGACCCCTCAAACAACGGTGTATTCATTTCTTTCAACAATTGATAAAATCTTTGAGCTTCCTCATTCGAAAACTCTTCCCCATCAAAATCCTGGGGTTCATCATATGTCACATTTACTCCAAATGCATTTCCAACCATTTTATCGATCAGATTAAATTGTTCATCAGATTCCATATGTGATCGACTGTTTGATGCGTGTGTATTAGTTGTCTTTGAATATACGTTACTCGGCAGTTGTTCTCCATTATATGTCCAAACCCAATAATTTTTAATGAAACCCTTCCTCTTCAAATGGCGTTCTACTTCCTCTGGGTCACTAATTATAGATCTACATTCACATTTAAGACAAGGACATCTCACTCCTCCTTCACGTCGACAACATTCTTGTGCAAATGCCCACGTGATAAACCCATTAACTCCTTCCTCAAAATTTGGTGTAAGTCCACGTCTGCCTGGTAACGTTCTATCGTACATCCAACTACGATAGTAACGAAAATACTCCATACTGCACATTTAATTGTACTATCATTATATATCATTTTAATAAAATATGTAATTTAAATCTATTTTTTCTATTTCGACACCAACCTAATAAAATATGTTCACTAAAATAATATAAATTTTTTATTTTTAAAGTATAATATATATTCACTATATATTTTTAAAGTATAATATATATTTAGTAAAATAATATATATTCATTAAAATACTTAAATATTATGTTTTAAAAATCTGGATCACTAAAATAATATATTATACTAATAATAACATATTTAAAGTATAATATATATTCATTATTTTTAAAAATCTGTTTTTCTAAAATAACATATATTATGTTTACTAAAATATAATAAGTATTCAATAATATAATATTCTATAATATATATAATGGATTTTCTAAAAATAACACATTTAATACATATTCATTATTTTTTAATAAAAATACAATTTCAAAAAGTAATACAATTAAAAATAATACATTTTAAATATAATACATATTCTTTATATTTTTTAAAAAATATATTTTAATTTTTTCTATTTACAATAATGTTTACTATAAATATTTTTAAAAATTCTACTTTTTCTAACATAATATATATTCTATTATATTATTTTTGTAATATATTCTAATATATTATAACATATAGAAATTCTAATATATTCTAATATATAAAAATTCTAATATATTATAACATAATATAAAAATTCTAATATATTCTAATATAATATATAAAAATTATAATATATTATTTTTTTCCTAATAAATATTCTATTTCTTTAATTCCTTATAAAAAATATTCTGTTTTTTTAATTAAAAATCACATACATATTATTTTTATTTTTGCTTCCAACAACAACCAACACAATACATATATCACCAAAATCTAAAATTTTTTAAAATCTAAAATTCTCAAAACTTCCAAATATCTCAAACCTTCTAAAATCTAAAATTTTCTAACTTAACTCTCAAAATTTTCAACAACAACAACACAATACACAATTAATATAAACAAATTGACTTGCTAAAATACCTCTGAGCTATCTCTTAAAACTTCCAATGGAATTTCTTCTAAATCAATGTTAGATCTGGAAAAAAAATTAACAGTTAATAATAACAAAAATATAAAATAAAAGCTAACATAAAACACTCACAAAACCAACAAATACTTCACCTTAAATTTTGCTCTTATGGAGGAAAAATGGGGCTGAGGTAGAGAGACAGTAAAATAGAGGTGAAGCGAATGAAGGAGGAAGAAGAAACAACAACAATAACTCATGCGAAATGCCAAGAGAAAGTCTGTGATTTTCATTTATAACGCATGTTGCGACGTGGAAATAACAACGGAAATTTGCGACGTGGCAGCTACTTCGGTAGTTTGCGACGTGATATATGCTTCGGTAATTACCGACGTGGCATTATGGTCGGTACATTTCAATGTCAGGTTTCTCTTTCCAGTTGCGACGTGATATATACTTCGGTATGTTGCGACGTGGAAATAGGGTCGGAACAATCCCCCTTTATTGTATTATTACTGTTGCTCCACTAAATGCCAACGTAACGGGTGAAAATAATTGATGTAAGTGTGTTGCGAAGTGAAAGACACGTCACAACTGAATTTCTAAAAAATTCAAAATTCCCTCCCTCAAAAATATCCAAAATTTCGTGACAGATTTTTGAACTACACAATTTATTAATAAAATATGTTAGTGACGTGGTAATCACTTTGCAACACATTTTATTTCCTGCGTGTTTACCACGTCACTAAATCACTAGGGAAAATGGACTTTTTCTTGTAGTGGGACTTTAAGGGTCTGTTTGGTTCAAATGAAGGGGAGGGGAGAGGAGGGATTTTAATGAAGGGGTGGGGAGGTGAAGGATTTTTTTAATCAAATAAGTGTTTGGTTCAAAAGAGATGTGGGAGGGGAGGGGAGAGATTTTAATTAAAAATGTGTTTGGTTCAGAAGGGGAGGGGAGAAGTTTTATTAATAATTTACATTTTTATCCTTATGATCTTATATAAGTCTTATGATATTAAAATATAAAAAATTCATGCGTATTTTTGTTGGTAATAAAATTTCTAATATTGAGTGATTAAAAAAGTATTTATTTGTTACATAAAGTTAAAAAATAAAGTACAATTGATTCGACTTATAACTTTCCAACATAAATTAAACTATATGTCAATAACATCGTTTAAATTGTGATGAATCATATAACAAAACAAATATATAAAATAACTTATTATTAAATATTAATGGTTCAAAATATTTAATAAAATGATAAACAAAAATAAATAAAATGAATGGTTTACAATTTGATATAAAAGAAAATATGATAGAATACATAACAAAATTAAAAGAAAAAGACGAATATAGCTAAACATATATTTTTTTATAAAAAAAAAGACAATGATTATGATTTATATTAAGTATAGAAATTATAAAATAATTTGAAGGTGGAAAACAATTATAATAAGTTGTTGGAAACAATCGAGAAAAAACAGTAACACAATAGAAAACGAATAGTTTTGAAATACTGAAATTAAACTGAGAATATTTTAGTATATATAATAATTTTTAAATATCAAAACTCATATTTCCTCATCTCCCCTCTAAATCCCCCAATTCGGAGGGAACCAAAAATGTGTTTTGGAAGGATTTTGCTCCCCTCCCCTCCCCTCCTAAAATTTGAACCAAACATATTTAATTAAAAATTTCTCCTTCTCTCTTCCGAACCAAACACACCTTAATATCCTTAAACTTGTTGTCGGCCAAAAAGATTCATATTTAAAATATCATCTATAAATAATTTTATTCACGATCATATAACCGTGCATATCAATTAAATACAATTCATTATTATCTCAAAACATATAAAATTGAAACCGACTGAAAATAATTACTAATCAACGTAAAAATCTTTCTCTTGGGTGTCCAAACTTTAGCCCGTGATTGAACGATTACTTGTAGTCTTTGAAAATGCATAATTTGACTCACGTGCGCATACTTTTTATCCTACTAACAGGAACAGGTCCAATCATTTATTCTAATCTTTACATGTGTCTATTCATAATCATAAGAGAGACACAATATAAAAAGTGCGACATGTAATTAAAAACTCAAAGCCACCAAACTTTTTCCCTAGTTTATTCCATTCCAAATTGAACGGTTTTATTTAATAAACCATAGTTGGTTATTCATCTCTTAACTATGTCTTTCCCTTCTATATATACACAGCACAAATCATTCATATCTTCCATGCAAAAAGATAAACAAAACACAAACACAGTTTTATATATATAATGGATTTTTACACTTCCGTAAATTTATTTGATATTTCATGGGAAGATTTGTTTATGTTCAATAATTATGATTCCAATTCTTCATCCTCTAGTGATGATCATATGTATTTACAAGAATTCAACTCCAATATTAAAGAAGAAACTTCACCACCACCACCACCACAAACCCTAACTCAACAACAACCGTCACTTCCCTCAAAAGCCCTAACTAAAAAACAACAACAACCATCATGTAAACGAGAGAAGAGGCTTTATAGAGGAGTAAGGACACGACCATGGGGAAAATATGCAGCAGAGATAAGAGACACAACAAGAAACGGTGTTCGAGTATGGATCGGTACATTCGATACACCCGAAGCAGCGGCTTTAGCTTATGATCAAGCAGCTTTCTTAACAAGAGGATATAGGGCAATCCTTAACTTCTCAGAACATGTTGTGAAGGAGTCTCTCCAAAACATGAATTTTAAGACATTGTTAAACCGCGGTTGTTCGCCTTTGTTGGAGCTAAAAAAGATGCATGTCTTGAGAACAAGATCTACAAAGAGTTGTAGTAAAAAGAGTAAAAAGGATTCAAAGAATGGAGGGTTGAATATTAATAATGCTGAAAATGTTTTGGTGTTGGAAGATATGGGGGTTGAGTATCTAGAGCAACTTTTGATGAGCACCATTTGAAGCAACTGACCAATGCTTTACTCACTCATTTTTGAATTCATTATCTTAGCTTGATTTTATTTTTTAAATTGTTTCATTGAACAATTCATTCATTTTACTTGCATAAAGTTGTATAAACATGGAAGTTTCTTGTGCATAATGTTGAACATTAATAATATATACTGGACATTTTATTTCCTCGTACAATGGTTATTTTTGTAGTCATATATATTTAGTTCGGCGAGTCTCGACAGTTCCATTTATACTTTCTAGGGTTTTTAAAACTTGTTATTTTTTAATTTAGATGAAAATCTGAACTAGACACTGAACTATAAATAATCAGTTGCAAGTAATATTAGTGATGAAATATAACCTTTGATGAACTTAAACTCAACAAAGCTGTTACTTCATCTTTTTTCACTCTAATTTCAAAGAACTCGAATCTTCAAGGTTTCACGGAGTTTAGACCTATTTGTTTGGTTGGCTGTTTGCAGAAATTATTTCCAAAGTCTTAGCGCTAGATTGAAAGGGGTGTTAGACTTTCTCATTCCTTTGTGTCAGACGGTGTTTTTTCCCGGCAGGTATATGTTAGATGGTGTCCTCGCTACTACGAGATTATAGATTTAGTGACAAGAAACAAGAAGAGTTCTATGTTTTTCAAAATCGATTTTGAGAAAGCATATGATAGAGTAAGTTGGAATTTTTTGAGATTCATCTTGAAGAAAATGGGGTTCATTGTTCGTTAGATGCAATGCATGAAAGCGCGTGTGTTTTCTAGTTTTTTGTCTATTCTGCTGGTAAATGGTAGTCTCACTGATGATTTCGCGGTCGAGGAAGATTTACGGCAAAAAGACCAACTTATCCCTTTTTTGTTCGTCCTGGTCACTGAATGCTTTGCTGGTTTAATCAGTAAGATTGCTGCTATTGGTGCATTTTTCTAGTTTTCAATTAATGGAGGGGAAATCGATTGAGGTGCTGCAATTCGCAGATGACATGCTTCTCTTGTGCGAAGGTGATTGGAAGAACCTATGGAGCATTAAAGCAATTCTA